GTAGTATATAGTATTGTTTGATGTATAGATTCCTACCGCTTTGCATTAGAATATAGCGTTCCAGTATGCAATACTCATGTTTTGCATACTGCATGTCCTCTTGTGCATTAAGCCCATCTGGGCAAGAACATGCAATAAAGATTCACTATATATAATGTCGATTTGTGGTTACATTCTGTATTTCGTCCTCTTGCCTTTACTTTTTGGGGTTGTTTCCAGTAAATTTTTGTAAGTTAGCAGTGTTTAACCCGATTTCAGAGGATCTGACATTTTCACCCCCTCCTCGTTTTCAATCAACTTGCAATGAGTTTTGTTTTTGTCAACTACACTTTTGCATACTCTTTCATCTGCATGTATTTGTAAACATGAAAACTTGCCGACGGTCTTATGGGGGCACTTTTCAAAAGGGCTGGCGTCTATGAGTTATCCAATTGACTACGTAGCTGCTGTGTTGCAAGTTTTTTTTTCCTGTAAGACCTTTCCCAGTGTATAATAAATATCACTAAAAATTGTAACCTTGTTCGAAAATAATTTAATTAAAGGTGTGTGGATCTTTCTAGTGTTACAGTAGCTATCGTCACGATAGCTTGAGTAGGCGAAATTTTCCACGAACTCCAACCAAAGACACACAGCGCGGTCCCACGCCTATCATGGCTGTGCAACTTTGAAAAATAACAATAGACCTTCATGCATGAAGTTTATCGAAAATTACTTAGAAATGGTGCGAAGGAATAAAAGCTAACCGTTCATACACTACAATTTTGCGTGCATGCATTGTGTATCCGACGTAAAACTTGGTACATAAGCGAAAAAGATACGACTTTCGTTGATTGTAGTATTATAAACGTGGTTTTAAAGTCGCCAATATTATGAATTTAGTAGGAACGCGCGGTGTCAGAGGTCATAGGAAGAGGAGTAATGGTTAGGTTTTTCCTCCATAAATGCCAAAATTAAATCTTCAAAATTCTATATCTTGAGCTCCGTTTGTCTGATTTGATAGCCTCTAAAGCAGACTCTCGCTTTGTTATTATGCTCAATTACGGCCTAGCGTGGTCTTCAAAAAGGTTTCGTACAGAACACCTCTCTCGATGTGGGCACATAGACAAAGTATAGTGGTGACAGCTTGCCTTTATAGGACTAGGCAGAAAGAATCCGATGTAGAGAACACCAAGAACTACAATTTAGGATAATTTTCAAATACTGTCAGGTAGGTTACATTGTCTTCTGCGATAATTACCTTCGCCAAGAAGGTTATGTTTTCAGTAGCGTTTGTGTGTGTGTGTGTGTGTGTGTGTGTGTGTGTGTGTGTGTGTGTGTGTGTGTGTGTGGTTTAGCAATATAACTCGAGAAGCAGTGGATGGATTGGAATGAAACTTAGTGGGTTAGTAGGTCTTAATGAGACCTAGAAATGATTAGATTTCGGGCCCCCTGGCGGCTTTCCTAGGAACTGCAGCTGAACTTCCGGTTTTGATAGCTCATGTTCTGGACATGCTAGGGTCACGAATTTTAACTGGTAGATAGCTCTTGGGGTAGGAAAGAAGTGACATGAGTTTGGGTTCCCTAGCACCTTGTTCTGGGACTGCAGGAGCATTTGTTGAAAAACAAAAATTGGACGATAACTCAAGAACCGGTTGACGTATTGTCGTGATTTTTGGTATGTAGGTAGTTGAAGTAATGCTTGACATAATCAGATGGCAATTATGCAAATCAGGAGCTAATCTACATAATTAATGAGGAAATTCTATAAATCTGCTTTGTTTGATAATAGAACTATGAAACACTTGTGACATCTACTTGAGAACGAGAAAAACTGAGGATATCGATTATGTAAATGAGGACCTAATTTGCATAATTAATGGCAAATTCTTATAATTCCATAGTTGTAACTGCTGCCCCCCGAATGTCATACTTGCCACATTTGGAAGTTAAGTTAAGGTGAACATCAATAAACATAATTTATTCAAATCATGACCTCATTTGCATAATTTATAAGGAAGTGCCATAATAGCCTTTTTGTTACGATAAGGCTGTCATTGGATGGAGAATATGATCAATTGATATAATCCATGCAAATGAGGCTCTTGTTTACAAAATCAATGATTAACATTGTATGATTTGTCACCCGCAAGGGTTAACATCATTTGGCAAAGGTATGAGATCGTGGAACTCGTAAACGAGTCACCGACTCGCAGGCGAGAATCATTTCGCCAAGTCCGTCTGACTGAGTCAAGCGATCGTTCACCACGCATGCAGGCGATTGGTCAAAATGTTAAATGAACACGTCATAATCCTCTCACATTTACATCAGAATGGAGCGGTAAGATTCAAATATCTGATGCTGTGGTGCCCAGACAGAATCGCCATCGAACTTCAGAAAGCCATCTCGCACTATATCTCGCACGTTTTTTTTAACGATCAATCATGCCGAACAAAAAGTACAAAGGGAATAGAAGGAAGAAATGGATCTCCTTGAGAAGAAAGCGGGCGCAACAGAACCTGCTTCAGGAAAAGAAGTTGAAGGTGCGCCACTTGGAGGAGCTGAAAGAACCAGAGAAAAGTTTAGGGCAGAGATGGACGTGCTTAAGACGGAATTGCAAAAAGCATCGGCCGCCCGCCCAGCCGCGACCACGCCACAGCTCCGGAAAGTATTGGCGAGCGACCTGGGTGATTCGCCGCGAGGCCAGAGAGTTCTAGGCGCAGGTAGACATGGCCAGGTTTACATGAAGACTGATAGTAAGTACCCGAGATCAATGAGCTGTCAAACGTCATCCATAGAAGTTATTTGTTGTAGTCTAATGGCTGAAAACAACAAGGCAGTTAGTGCCCCTGTTTTAAAACGTTGTTTCTTTCGTACAAAGCAATACTTCGTTGCGGTTTTATTTTGGTTTCTTGGGTTCGAAATAGGACAAGTCAAATACTCCTATATCATAAATGACATATTAATGGGAGTACCTGATTTTCATGGTCCAGTTGCCTTGTTGTGAAGCTTATATGTTAATCCCACGGCATCATGACAGTTTGTGAGTTTTTCAAAATGCACAGTCAGTTATATAGAGAATTAGACAATTGTCTTAGTCTTGATTTATATTGTATCTTGACTATTAATATATCTACAAATAATGTATAATCTATTAATCTTGTCAAATTATGTTTTGTAAACAGTCATTAAAACTACTATCTGAACTTTCATTGTCCCATGCTAAGACCTCTGACATTTCTTTCCCATGACAGGTGCCAGCAACTGCCTGGTGGCCGTGAAGGTGGTCAGAAAGATAGCCAGGGCTGACCTGGGTGAGGAGGCAGATATCCTGTCCAGGGTGTGCCACAGGTCGTGGTTCCCATCCATGTTTGGATGAAACCTGTAGTGGAACACCCATTCCAGGTACAGGAATTTGTCTCCTACTCACCAGGCAAGGACGTGTCCACCACACTCCTGGACGTCATCAACGAACCTGCGGCTCTCCTGATGAAGAACTACGAATACGGAGGAGCCCTCCTGCAGGTGCCCCATGGACTCTCCTACCTGCACTAGGCTGGGATTCTGCATAATGACCTTAAGGTGGGTATAGGTCTAGACATCAAATAAATACAGTATGATTTACTTACATCTGATTTTACTTATATCTGATTTTATTATTAGGCCACACCAAGTAAATTTTATGGATGACGTCCTTTGGAGACCCTATATCTAATGCGAGAGGGCGAAAAAAATACAAACAAGAAGGGCACTAAAAAACAAGATCTAGGTGCCTAGATTAGAAATATACTAAGAGACGACAAATGTTAGAACACAAATTGAATGAGGTGATACAGATTAACAAGCAAAAAGTCTTTTATTCATCATAAAAACAGCAATAAATCAGGTGGAAAAGTGGACAGTGAAAACAGGATGGTAATAGACACTTTCTTCGCGTTACGGGTTTCACGTCAATCTGACGATTTGCGGCACTGTCGTGACTCCTTGGTCATAGTTACAGGAAGCGGAATTTCTTGTTTTTTTCTTCTACGAACAGGCCAAAATCAATGCGCGCGCGGACGTTATCCATAAAATTTACTTGGTGTGGCCTTAGCATCACTTCACAAGTAAAATACACTACCATTTTTAGGCAAATGTATTCATTTCCTAAAAATACAATAGGGATTAGCTTTAACCCTAAACAGTACACCTGGGGTCTAACGGCTGCAATATATAACTGATGCTCTCGAGTATTACTTATACTCTAATAACCCTATTTCCTTCTATTGTTATAGAGCGACAACGTGATGATCAGAAAGGTTGGAGAGAAGCTCGCGGCCAAAATCATAGATTTTAGCAAAGCCTGCTGGATCACCCGGCCCATTCAACTGAACATCCAGCCCGGGGAGATTGTGTTCGGGCACATCGCCCATGAGGTGGCTGCAGGAAGACCTGTGTCAGTCTATTCAGATATCTTCAGTTTGGGCAGGCTGGTTGATGATGTCAGTAGATCAGAGGGAGTGGCAGGCCACAGAAGAAAACTGAACCTGGTAGCAAAAGCCTGCCTCAAGCCAGATCACCCTAGGGACAGGATGCAGTTAAGGGAGATTGTCACCGGGTTACAGGTGTCATAAGGTGTTCAGGTTTAACAGATACATTTTATTATTAAGGCTATGTACGTTTGTTTAAGTTTCTCGGTCAAGGTCGACATGTCATTAAAACAAGTTGAACCTTTGAACCTACTTTATTGTATGTATAGATTTGATACATGTATTTATATGTGCTTTGTCTACTTCTTTACTTGACATAAGGTGTTTAGGCTTAACAGATCCATTTTGTAATCTAAGCTCTGTACGTTTGTTTAAGTTTCTCGGTCATTGTCATTAAAAACAAGTTGAACCTTTGAACCTACTATATTGTATGTATAGTTTTGATGCATGTATTCATATCTCTTTTGTCTACTTCTTTACATGACATAAGATGTTCAGATTCAACAGATATATTTTGTTCTACTGCCATATACTTTGAGGCAATATTTTGTCCATAGGCCACACCAATTTAATTTGTTCTCGGAATCGCCGCTTCAAAAATTCACAGAATGAGAAAAAAATAAAATTCAATTTTACCGAAAAGCTCCGCCCCAGAGGCGTTGCCAAAAAATGAAATCACTAAAGAAAACTGAAGGCTGCAGTTTATCAAGTGTTGATAGGTGTCGCTCTTAGTAGTTGGAGATCATGTGACGTTAAGTTACCAATAAAGGCGCTCCTTTCAGCATTCCGGTTGGCGAATGAGAGATCAAGTTACATCTTGTTAGTGTTTCTGGAAGGCTGCAAAAAAAATGGCGGCAGGTTGAATTCCTTTTTTTGGCAAGATTAGGAGCCGCCCGGCTCGGGGCAGTAGATTAGAAAGTGTAGATTAGAGCTAAAGTTGTAGAAATGTTGAAAGAAGAAACCATGGTCCCTCTAGCCTCCTTCGCAGTCTTGTTGGGCGTGGGCGTAATTTTTTCTCTGAGCGACGCGAGTAATATGCCGCCGCGAGGGACGATTTGCTGCCGAGGGACTTTTGCCACGGAGAGAAGGTTTCCGCGCTCCAACAAGACTGCTTCCATTCGGCGACTAGAAAGGGCTATCAAAAAACACTTAGGAGCGATTGGCATGGATGTGTGAACTTCCCGCAATGAACGCCACCAGTGCCGGGAGGTGTTCACGCCCCGTTCCTCGACGAGCCAAAACTTGCAACTTTCTAGCGGTCGCCGATCAACCCGTCCGTAGAACGCCAACCATTCCCGAAAACCGAGCCCTATCCACTCAACAAAATCCCGTAGTCATTGCTGCTAACGAAAAAAAAACTTTGAAAAGATCACTACCACAGGAACCCGCAAGCTAAACTGTGATATTGCAGGGGGACGTGGACAGATAAACAAAGTGTCGCCATGTTGTTTGGTGGCGGGTTGATCTCACTGGTCATGGGAGGGTAACGCACCGCTCCACAGCAAGTTGCGTAATAGAAAGAACAGTTTCATCAGCAAAAATAGTACTGCAAAGTTTGTCTTGGTTTGTTTGCATGGGATGCTTAAATGTGCACAGCAATGCCTTTGTTGTGACATTACCAATGTTCACTGTTTCTCTGTTGGAAGAACTTGGAACCTTCCACTATAACGCAGGCTAATAAAACCAACCGTTGACAAAGGCCTTCTCCAGCTGTGAATTACCCTTGCGCGAACATGTGAATTGGACCTGCGCGAACATGTGAATTGGACCTGCACGAACATGTTAATAGCCTCTATGAAAGGCTGGCTTAATCCGAGGTCCTTTCTAGTCGCCGAATGGAAGCAGTCTTGTTGGAGCGCGGAAACCTTCTCTTCGTGGCAAAAGTCCCTCGGCAGCAAATCGTCCCTCGCGGCGGCATGATTACTCGCGTCGCTCACAGAAAAAATTACGCCCACGCCCAACAAGACTGCGAAGGAGGCTAGGTCCCTCAAGGAGAGCCGGGAAAGCCGGTGTATGGCATTATCAAGGTTTTCCAAGGCCGACAAAAACTCATCGACACCTGCCTGGAAATCGAAGAAGACGAAAACTTTGGCCAGCTTTTCGCCAGATCCATCGAGAAGCAAACCGATTACTCTGTGCAGGTGGGTTTGATGAACTATATTTCCTTGACATGTGATGAGCCAACCAAAACATTATAGCTATTATTCTGAAATGAAGTACTTAGCCATCAGAAAAAAAATTCTGGTCAAATCAAGGAGTTTATTAACTCCTTGGTCAAATAGACATGCTAGGACATGTCCTTGATCTGTGCATAACTTTGTTGACGTTCACTTGACTCAGTATTTCTATTGAACCGTTTATTCATTTTTATTCGTTTGACTGAGAAAGATGTGCAGCCAGGACCACCCAGCTACATGTAGACGATTATAAAGGGCTATTTAACCTTGTACTTGGTTGTAGCCAAGGGATACTGACCAAGATATAATTTGCTGATTTTCCTTTCCAGTTTGGGTTGCATGGTTATCCCTCTCGTGTATTTTTATCTATTATTTATGAAGATTGCAAATGTTTTATTCTTGAAAAAATCAAGGAACTGTATAGTTTGCATTTACTCCAATAATCCTTGAAATTTGAATGGTAAGCCTTTTAAGCTTAGTTGTCTTATTTTTATTTATATCCAGGTATTCATCTCGCAAACAACACCACCAGTTGGTGGTGGGGCTGAGGAACATAGTACAAAACATGGAACCAATTGCCCTTTGTCAGCTCCTGTGAAGATGCTACTTTGTGACTTTCAATGCAAGTACATCACCTACTATGTGCAGCAGAAGACTGACAGTTGTGAAGAGTCTCATATCAAAAGAAATGCATTTGATATAATAATGAAAGAAAGGCTCAATGATTCTTACCTACCTCAAAGAATTGAGAAAGAGAAACCAATTGCAACAGAAAGACTGTACAACATGGTGGTTGACTACATGCAAAAAGTTAAGGCAGGATTCACCTCAGATTATGTTCAATCATGTGGTAAACGGCTTGCAGTGGTACTGAGAGATGCTTTATGGTATCTAGATTCACATCATGAAAAATTCAAAGAGAGATCCATAATCTTACCAAAGGCTTTTCAGATTTTCCAGCATCATAACAATTGGAAACAGAATAAGCATACACAACCATCACTGACACAGGAAGGCCTGTATAGTCATGAACAAAGCATATCAGCAGTTTTGATGCTACCCATGGTACTGACTCAGAGGAACTCTGTATTAGCACGAGACATGTCAGATCTGTGTAAAGCAATGACGAAATACAGGTTATACCTCCAAAATTCTACAGTCCGTGTTGAAAAATGCAGGTCATCAACCGTTCCAGTAAGGTCAGTAGAGACCCATTCTTCATTGACTACAATACCTGCCAGTGCAGTATGCCCACAAGAATACCAAGAGTTGCAAAGACATCTAGATAAAATGAACCATACACTCCTGTTGACATAGGTGACTTTGTAACAGTTGACAGGTATGAGAGACGGAAATATATAGCAAACATTCAGCTAGTCAGTGATGTGTCAATGTATGCTATGCCGTACGGCAACTGTCTTGGGACAGTCACCATTCTCTGGAAGATAGAAAGGAACTCAGAGAACCACGAGAGCCGAAATGCAGGAGTTATCTTGGAAATTAGCAAGGAGCTACCCACTTACTCAACACGAGAGATGAGGCGTATGTTCATACAGACATACAGTAAAAGGGCTAGTATAAAGCCAATGGTTCTCCGAGCTATCTACAGAGAACTGGTCAATGATTCTGCAGCTGCAACAAGTTTTAGAGAAGAGGATCTAGACCATCGTGTAGTTCGTTTCTTCATGGAATCTGAACAGCCGGACCTTTTATTAGACCTTAGGAAGTTAAATGGCAATCCAGGAAGCACCATGTTCAATGCATTTTGGGAGGAAACTGCCAAATACTTCGAGGAGCAAGGTCAGGTGCACGACAGAAGGCACGAGCACAACTTCACATACATGCCTGTAGCTATTTCAGTAGACGAGCTGCGACTCAAGGTGAAGGACAGATTACCCGAAGGAACACCCATACCTTCCTCAGAATGGTTGCGGCTGCAATTTTGGCCTGCTAACCCCTTTGCCGCAAGGGCAATTAAGCACACGTTCAGGTTAGATGTTAAGTTTGCTGTTCAGACCAGGCTCCTTCGGTCTGAACACATAGACTCGAAGTATGCTACTACTCAGTACAAATACCTCAAGCAGTTTGCTTGTAAGTACAAAGACCATGCACGGCTTATCTGTGTTGATGATAAGGCAATTATACCAGTAGGCAACCCCAGACAGCCAGTGTCAACAGGGGTCCGAGGACACAATAGGTCATTGGCCCCTGTTGGCGGGACACTGGCGGCTTTGGATCACGACTGGCACGTTGGAGGTCTGGTTCCCTCAGTTGTCCTATTGACAGACATCCCAGAGAGAGCAGAGGATTCATTCTATAAGGGAAAAGTCTGCGTGACTTTAAATGAGAAAGTTTTCCAGCCGTCAAGCCCATGTCGTCACACAGCTGAGATAGCCAAGGTACTCCGAGAGTATGCAAGTCTTGATGACGTGAATTTAGATGTTCCCATTTTGCTGATGTTCTCTGACGGGGGACCAGATCATAGAGTAACTTTCCAGTCCGTCAAGATCGCCCTTCTAGCACTATTCCTAGCTCTTGACTTAGATTCATTATATGCAGCTCGATGTGCTCCACATGGAAGTTGGATAAACCCTGCTGAAAGGACAATGTCTTTACTGAACTTAGCCCTCATCTGCAGAATGTTGCGTTGGAGAGAGGCTGCATGTCAGGAGAGTTAGAGAAGCTCATCAGTGGAAAGAGTGACCTCAGCAGTGTCCGTCAATCAGCAAAAAGACACCCTGACCTTAAAGAGGGATTCAAAGCTGCTATGCAGCCAGTCGTACGGCTTGTCAGCGAGGGGTTCCGGAAGATGCGACTAAAGAAGGAGAAAGTGAGGACGTTTCCAGCTGCTTTGGATGAAGAAATTGAAGACATCATGAGTATACTGAGTCTAATTGATGAGGAAATCACACCAAGTGATGCTATCACAATGACTTCCAAGGACTTTGCTAGACGCCAGCGGCTCACAAGTTTCCTAGAAAAACACAGTAAGCAGACACACTACACGTTTCAGCTGAAGAAGTGTACATCAGCAAACTGCAATGTCTGTGTACTGAGTCCCACACGTCTGCCCCCAGAAGTCTTTGACACATTGAGCTTTCTCCCTGACCCGATGCTTGACCCATCTGGGGAGCACTACCTGTGAGTGCTGTTTTCACTTTCCATCATGAGTAATACTATGAAAGTTGAGATGATAGGAATATGATAATTTTCATTTAAGGGTGTGTGTGTTTTGGTTAGAGTGACATTGTTTTTCTGCTGTATATATTACATGTATGTTACTTATAATATGCCAGCTTTTCAGCAAACTTAGGTACACATGTATTATTAATTTCTCTCTTTTAATATTCTTCATAGAAATACACTTGTAAGACTCAAAACTGTGCACAGATATCGTCCAAGACATTACATATGTATCTTTGTTTTACATGTAGCTTGCTACCTACTAGCTTCTCAGATTTGTCCTAAATATTGCATTATCTGCGCAGGTCATTTGCTGAGTTGTATGGCAAGCCTACCACAGAAGCAGACAGGCCGTCCCTGAAGCAGCCCACCCAGAAATCAGAGACTGACAAGAAGAGGAAACAGCTTCTTGTGGCAGCTAAAGTCCGCGATGTCATCAGGTTAGCTCCATCACCAGCCTATCTTTTCTATCTACAATTTTGAGTCTAATATGAAGGTGCTATGCAGGCAGTATTATGTCTTCCCACCAATGGAAAGAGTTGCAATATTGAGGTGTATCCTACAATGTATATGATGCCAGTGATATTGCATGAGGCACTGGTTTAACATTGTGTTTTAAATCCCAGTGTGTCTGTTCATTCTGCAGCTGTGGAGAGTGCCGGAAACCACGCTGCATATATGCAGCTTCAAAGTTACTCGCAGAAGAAGGAGGTGCAGTAACACGAGCCCAACAGGATGGCACATACGTGTGTGGAGGTCATATATTTGCTGAGGGTGGAAGGTGAGGACATCTCAATAGAATTCAGTGTTTTCCATGGAGATAGCAGCTGTTTGATTGTAGGCTAATAATGTTAATTCACCACAGACCCGCTAAAACAGTTTGGATTTGATACTACTGGTTGTGCTGTCTTTTCCATTCTGATATCATCTTCATGCTGCTCAAATGTCTTTTGTATTCAATTAGGCACAGTATCCTTTTTCAGATGTACATATAACATGCTTAAATGGCCACAATTTAGCATTAATGCAACACCCAGCAGGCCAAATAAACAAATTTTATCACTGGACATCTTGTATGTGACTTGATGAGACCCACTGAATGTTGTCCTGTCTTTTGTAGGTACCATGACAAGATAGTTACAAAGGTTGACCTTACTTGTGCGTCACCTGTGGAGACCCAGTACTATGGAAGTGTTACCGTGGCATTTCCAGACTGCTGCTTCCATTGCGGAACACTGAGCAATCTTCTGGAGCAGACTGACCCCTACATACTTGAACTCAGACAAAGTTACCATACTGTCAGACCTATTTGTTCACCCTGTCATGCAGGTGGCAAACAGGCCTCAACCAGAGGTCCAACAAATGCCAGAAAAAAGATAAGAAAAATCTAAGAGTGAGAAAGTTATTCCTGAACTTTTTGGTTTGGTTTGGCATGTTTTTGTTTTATTGTTGTCATTAGTTCCTTTTGGTAAGACTCAGAAAGTCATTGCAGTCAGGAAGTTTTATTGAATGTTGTTATGAGTTCCTTTTGGTAAGACTAATACTCAGAAAGTCAGTGCATTCACTAAGTTTTATTGAATAGAGTTCCTTTTGGTAAGACTCAGAAAGTCAGTACAGTACACTAAGTTTTATTAAATGTTATGAGTTCATTTTGGTAAGACTAAGACTCAGAAAGTCAGTGCAGTACACTAAGTTTTATTGAAAAAATTATGTTATGAGTTTCTTTTGGTAAGACTATGACTCAGAAAGTCAGACTGAGTGCAGTCACTAAGTTTTATTGAATAGAGTTCCTTTTGGTAAGACTCAGAAATTCAGTGCAGTACACTAAGTTTTATTAAATGTTATGAGTTCCTTTTGGTAAGACTAAGACTCAGAAAGTCAGTGCATTCACTAAGTTTTATTGAATAGAGTTCCTTTTGGTAAGACTCAGAAAGTCAGTACAGTACACTAAGTTTTATTAAATGTTATGAGTTCCTTTTGGTAAGACTAAGACTCAGAAAGTTAGACTGAGTGCAGTCACTAAGTTTTATTGAATAGAGTTCCTTTTGGTAAGACTCAGAAAGTCAGTACAGTACACTAAGTTTTATTGAATGTTATGAGTTCCTTTTGGTAAGACTAAGACTCAGAAAGTCAGACTGAGTGCAGTCACTAAGTTTTATTGAATAGAGTTCCTTTTGGTAAGACTCAGAAAGTCAGTGCAGTACACTAAGTTTTCTTGTTGCCATTTCTTGTTGAGCGTTGAGTTCCATTTGGGGCTGGACACAAATAAAGACTGCTGTTTCAGACTGTTGAGTCTTCTCAGTTTATTCAGACAAGGATTGTACATACAACAATTGCCCTGCTAGCTGGTCTTGTTTCAGGTCTTTTGGGCTGTCTTCTTTTCCTTCTCCACGTCCCTAGAGGTCTGTCTCGCTTGCACCTTCCTTGGGAGGTCCATTTGAGGCCGATATATGGGTGGTATAACATGAGAGCCCCCTTATTCCAGCCCTGGCCTTACCATCAGACCAATTTTTTTTTCGCCTTGTCGAGAACCAACAAATTAAATTGGTGTGGCCTTACCATGTATTTCAATAGAAAGCCCCATTACCGGTCATTGGCCTTCAGCCCCCCTCCCACCCATTAACAAGGTGAGTATTTTCGCCAACTTCTTGACACTTGATACCCCCAAACGACACTAGGAGTCATCTGGACACAATCAGAATTCAGTCAAAGAACTTTTTATTCAAATTTTCTCGTTTTTTTTTCGTTTTCGGCCACTTTTCACTAATGAATGCTGTAGAACAATGGTGCTCGGAGTACAAAAAGAAGATAGAAGCTAAATTACAGCAACATCCAATTTCATCATGTTTGATTTGGACGGGTGGTAGAAAATCTTCCAGGTCACCTTACGAAGCTATCAATATCTCGTGGTTTCCAAACTGTTCACACAAATTCTAGTCGTACACAGAGCTGCATTTATTGCTCATTCTGGTCAAGTAAAATTGGACAACCTAACTGTCAGCCACCTCTGCCATAATTCTCCCTGTGTTAATTATCATCATCTATGCCTAGAATCACAGTTCTTAAACAATCAAAGGAAGGTTTGCCGGAGAAACATTTTTTCTACGCCTGCGCCAATTATCGGGATTGCCCCGCTATATTTGTTTATACTAGCTGCTGAAGGTTTGGCGATAAAGATACGAACCAATCAGTCTATTAGAGGTTTACAGGTGTATGGAAAATCCATCAAAGTGTCACAATACGCAGACGACGCCAATTTTCCCTTAAAATACTCCTAATCTAGAATCGTTTTACGCTTTGTTATCTGATAGGGATAATTTTCCACTTATTTCAGGACTCGAGCTAAATGCAGAAAAATGCAAGATTTCAAGAATTGGTTTCTTAAAGTTCTCAAATTTTCGATTACCGACACATTTACCGGTACAGTGGGTAGATGGAGAGGTTGATGTATTAGGTGTTCACATTCCTGTTGATATGAATTCAATTGTTGAAACCAATATAGAACCAAGGTTGGAGAGGATAGACCGAATATTGCGTCCATGGAAAGGTAAAGCATTATCCCTCTATGGCAAAATAACGGTAGTTAATTCTTTAGTAGTACCACAATTTACCAACTTACTCCAGACTTTACCGTCTCCTAATAATTCGTTTTTTAAAAGATATGAAAAAAAGATCTTCTCTTTCATTTGGGAGGATGGTCCAAAAAAAGGGGCCAGGAAAGTAGTTTATAATTCAATGGAGAATGGCGGGTTAAAATTGATTCATTTACGTGTATTTGATCAGACTTTGAAAGCTTCGTGCGTGGATTCCGAAATTACATTTCAACCCTGAATGGTTCTCATCTAAGTTGATAGATTATAACCCGCGCTTAAGTCTGCAATTACTACCCTTCTTTCAACTGACTTCAGTGTCTTCTCTAAATTCAAAAGGTTTAATTTCGGAGGCATTAGCTGCTTGGTATAATATTGAAGAACTCACTTGACAGTTGTACAAAACGTTGTCTAATTGTAACGGATCGGAAATAGATTATGAATATGAAAAATCAATAAACTCAAACCTTTTTTGAATCTTTATACGTTTTTCCTCTACATACTGGATAAATCTAAGTACTTCCAACTTGTTAGGCATAATTTTCGGTAACAGTAGGCAAGAAAAAAAAGAAAGTCTTTATAGCCCTTATCCATGCAGTTCCAAACTCCAGTGGAGTAAACGTTTTCGCCCAGAACCTAGGCAATAGGCATTTCGTCCCTTCCCGCTGATATCCTGTCAGAACCAAAAGCGGTTATTGTAGTACCGGATATCTACACAAGGCAACACTGGTGGCTGATATTACAGCGTAGGGCAAGCAAAGTTGCGGAGGTCTCATCAGCGGGACAGCCGATTTGAAGCAAGGGTTTGCACCTGAAGCTAACCCACTGGGATCTGTGGGCTTTTCAGCTCGAAGTAAAGAGAACATAATAAAGCAAAGGAGCGTTTCCTCTGTAAATAAAATGCAACACGATGTATTTCAACTAGTGTCTTTCTTTATTTGTTATCACGCACGTCTAGGTTAAGTAAAATATCTTAAATTACACTCAGGTGTTGATTCAACTCAACGCAGATTTACAGAAGGCTCAGCAGTAAAGAACCTGGAAGAAACGTGCACAGTCCCCGCTCTCGATGCAGAAGAACCCGCATCTCTCCACAGACACCAAACAAAGATCACGCCCCACGACCGTGAACCCCGGAGTTCGCGGGAACACCAATGCTGTGGTTTACAGCCGCCAGGTGTTCGGAATGTGGATACCCGAACGACTTTGATTTCAATTTTTGCCACAAATGCGGCAAGACCAAACAGCATCCTATCAGACCAAAGTCGACAAGGCAGTTACAGGTTGACCATACGACCATCAATTAAAGATTTGAACAGGTATTGCAAGGGCAAAATAGCGCTACGTATAACAAACAAAAGGCATCAATAGGCGACCTGTTAAACGATTTTTCGCGACGCTCTCTCCTCCCAAAAACAACAGCTTCGCCACTAGATGTGTTTAATTTCTTGTAAATGGTGAAGTACAAATTGATAGCTTCGTTGGTGTTGTAGGGAGATGTTCTGCCCATCCTGGTCAGGATGTCTCCTGCGTAACTACGAATTCAAACGTCTCACTCTCATCCATACTGTACGGCTTACCATTATGTTTTCACCAGGAACAACGTGCAGCTTATCTTCACTTCTCGACAGACATATATGTCATGTAAAGAACAGATACATGTGTCAGATTTCCATGGCACGTGTGTGAGGTGAAGCCCATATATACATATGGTTTTCACGACATATATGCGCTGTACACACTAGATATATAGAAGCATCGCAACGCACATACGTGCGCTATAGAAACCAGATACATATGTCCTTCGCGGCGTATTACTACCGTGAAAAACACTTATATGTGACGATACGTTACTCCTCTATGTGTGGTCTGGAAAAATTGTCCGAAGTGAGGTAAATAATTAGTAAGAAATTTAAAAGTTTTTAAATCACTCTAAAATGAACCCGCTGATATTTGTTATTGACTCACCTTTGTAATCAATCATTTTTTCAACATCATTTTAGCACTAAAGACTGTTGAACAGATTTTGGACGAAGTTTTGTCTTACCATTTCTTTGACATCCAGAAGGACACGAGGGACGTATTCATACGTTATGCCCAGGGGCAGCTGAAGGAAATGCTGTCCATGCCCACAACCAGGTACCAGAACAAGCATCGACGACAAATGATGTTTTCTGGCTGGGCCACCCGGTACTGGAATGACGTCTATAGCACGGATTTGTGGAGGTTTGTTTGAACATGTTTGGATTAAGTTGGTCATGAGTGCCAAAACAGATGGGCTACCCTTTTACCCTATGTCATGACCCTTGTATGCCTGCCATGTTGCAAAGAAAACAACAGGGAATGCCAAGATCTCATGCATTGTACAGGAATGTCAACAAGCCATGGGATGTACCGCCAGGATTAGAATGTCCTAACATAGAATCTACTATATTCGCAGAGAGAGAAAACCATGTGCAGGCTGATCTATCTGAACAGTTGTTACAATGGAATATTTTTTTATCCTCCTACTCCTTAGGCCTTTACCCACAAACGTAATGAGGTTTTAGCTTTAGGCCTGAAAACTTAACAAAAGGTGTACATGAGGCGGAGGCCCGAAGAATATCATGGACAGATCTGGGCCTGGCTCCTATATTTGCATTGTACAAGTGTCATTTTTGCAATAGGAAAATTGGTAGGACAAAGTTTCTGTGTTGTCCCTTATTGCAAAATGAAGCAGTTACGAGACAGGTCAAAGGAGGAAATGTTTGTAAAGGTTGTTGTGGATGACCATGGTAAACAAGTCCAATCGTCGTGTTTCTCCAATATTGTATCTACAATTCTAGGATCGGACTCACTGGTAATGAACAACGAGGAAAAGCTGTTGGAAAGGGATGATGTGACGTTGAAGTATGATGCACATAGTAACAGTGAATATTGCTGTGGTTGATTAGTTTCTACATGTTACAAAAAATGTTTATGTATTGTATTGTATTGTATTTTTTTATTATTGGTTGGACAGGAAGGCTTTGTTCGCCTTATTCAAATGAAAACCTTAGGGTTTTAAAGTATAGGAATTAAATATTGATGCAGATACTAATGCTCTACAGGATTGTTGCCCTTACATCAACTCACACAGTCAGAGAAAATAATCTTCAACGCATTTCAGGGCATAATTATAACCCGCAGAACAGGGTCATCCAGGCCAGGTTACTAGTATTTGGAACACTTCATTGTAGTCTGTTTGTTTGGTAAA